ATTGCATTTGTGCTAATTGTTTATAAAAATAATGCTTTGCTGTCTCATTATTGTTGTCTTAGCATGATCCCTGCCCTATGTATGCCTTGTCCAGTCAACTGCCATCTGCCACCATGGACCTCTGGACTGCTCTGATGCTGAATACCTTTAAGTTTCCACACCCCACCTGGTAGAGAACAAGGGCTTTGGTTTATTCCCTCAACTTTGCCCCCTTTTAGCCAGAATCAGTTTGGAGGTGTTGTCACCCATTTTTCCATAGAAATGGAATGTAGAAGTTGACTGTGAGGAAATGTAGCAGTTGCCCACTTTATGCTTTGAATGTAGCCCTTGCTGCTCTGCCACTGCAAATGATTTTTAAAATGGACCTGTTTCTCTCTCTTCCTCTCTCCCTGTTCCTCCCTAATCTCTTCCCCTCTCTAATCTCAGGGGAAACAGGATTACTTTTCTTCCCCATTTTTGGCAGAATTGTGTGTCCCTCAGCACCCACCCACTATAGGAATGAAGTATTCCAGACTTTGGGGATGGTACCCGAAGGTCTCAAAAATGACTATCTCGCAAATTAACAAGTGAATTACACCTCCAATGGAGAACAGGTGGAATGCAGCCTTTGAATCACCTCTTTAAAATCTCCCTCTTATTCCTGCTGATGGGCAGAATCATAGCCTTTGGGACAGGAGTCCCCTGTGTTTTTCCTTTGCTAGCAAAGCTAGTAATCTTCTTTCTCCTTTTTCTCAAAACCATGTCTTCATTATTGGATTGGCATCACAGACAAGGACTGATCTTTCAGGAACATCCATACTACCCAAAACATATAGATTCAATGCAATATCTGTCAAAATTCTAATGGCATTATTTCACAAAAATATAAAAGTAGTCATAATTTTTTTATGGAACAAAAGGCCCTAAATAAATAGATTGTCATTACACCAAAAGAACAAAGCTAAGGACATCAGATTTCTGTCTTTGAAATATACAACAAAGCTATAGGAAGCAAAACAGTATGGCACTGGTATAAAAACAGACACACAGATCAATACAACAGAATAGAGAACTTCTAAATAAATCCACATGTTTGGAGACAACCGCTTTTTGACAAAGGTGCCCCAAACACCCAAAGATAAAAGGATAGTCTCCTCAAGAAGTGGTGTCAGGATAAGTGAATAATCACACACTTGAATAAGACTAGACCCTTATCTCACACCATACTAAAGTGCTAAGACCTGAAACTAAAATTACCATGAGAAACTCTGGGTAAAGCTCCATGATATTCATCTGGATAATGAATCCTTGGATATGATCCCCAAAGCACAGACTACAAAAACAAAAATTGGTAAATGAGTTTACATTAAAAAGTTCCTGTTCAGGGGCTGGGGTTGTGGCTCAATAGTAGAGAACTCACCTGGCACACATGAGACACTGGGTTTGATCCTCAGCACCACATAAAAATAAAGGTATCATGTCCACCTAAACTAAAAAGTATATTAAAAAAGCTTCTGTGCAGCAAAGATATCAACAGAATTAAGCTCCTATGGGGTGCCAGGTGTGATGGTACATGCCTGTAATTCCAGCTATGATTATATTTGCATGACTCTGAATATTCTAAAAACTCAACTGTATACCTAATGTGGCCACTTTTATGCTATATGAAATTTAGCTCAGTGAAACTTTTTAAATGGGGCTAGTATCTCTTGTTCCATAGTACTATTGGGAGAATTAACTGAAGACATATGAAATCTTGTTTAATAAGATTAAGTGCCCAACTACTTGGTGGAATGGAAGATAAGTTTTTGCCTGATTCCTCAATTTTGCCTCAAGATTCCAGGGCGAGAAGCAAGTTTAAATGCTTGCTCCTTTTGCTTCCATATATCGAATGGTATTCAGTCCTATTCACTGAGTTTGTTGGATTTTGCTTCCTACTTTCCTTCTCTGGACTAAGTCTCTGTAGACAGACAGATCCCCCACAGTATGCACGCACACATACACACACTCCACTACTACATGTATGTCTCCTTCCTCTCAGAGGAAGGTTTAAAGTAGAGATCTCTTCAGATTTGAGAAACAATGCTGAGCTAAAGCCATATTTCAAAAAAAAAAAAAAAAAAAAAAAAAAAAAGAATCCATCACATCAATCACAACTTACCCCATTCTGCCAGTATCTTAGTGAGCTTTTTTGCCACTCTCGCTGAAAGAACAGGCAAGAACAATTTTAGAGGAGGAAAAGTTTATTTGGGGGCTCATGGTTTCAGAGGCCTCAGTCTACAGAGAGCCACCTATGTTCCTCAGAGCTCAAGGACAACTGAACATCACCGTGAAAGTGTGGCAGAAGGAAGTGGCTCAAGCCATCCCTCCAGAAAGCAGAAGAGAGTGAGTTCTGCTCAACAAGGACAAAATAGATATCCCAAAGGCATGCCCCAGGGACCCACCTCCTCTAGCCACCAGCCTACCAGCCTATGGTTGTCATTCCATTAATACCTAAGGCTCTTCTAACTCAATCATTTCTCCTCTAAACCCAAACATTTCTCTTCTAAATCTCATCTTACACATGAGATTTTGCGGGACACTTCAATTAAACTAACAGCCAGTGATTTCTTTGGGGGTTTTGATGAGTCTGGGCTTAATGGATAATAGGGCCAATTAACTGAGTATTCCCTAAACAGATTGTTTCACAGGTATTCAGGACTCAAGGCTAGGAGTTCAGGACTTTCTGCAAATCCCAAAGAACCAAGAGACTGAACTCAGGATCTGGTCCTATAACCAAGGTTTGTCTTCAGGCCTGTTATGTATTTGTGCATAATCCAGGCAGACTGGGAAAATGACTGGACTAAAAGCCCATATCTCCTCTCAGTTCAAAATGAGGTACATATGATTTCACAAACTGCCTTGTTCAGTAACAAAACTGTCACATTCTATTGACATTTGTAGCATGCTTTTGAAATGAGGCACAAATATTAATCATCTTAATTTATGTACAAAGTATGTGCATAAGTTACACTTATTCCACTGAAAAAAATTACTGAACTATGCAAATATTGAATTATTGTATTAGGAAGGATGCATCCCCCACAAAAACATCACTGTTGGGTGGGGTATAAAGTTCAGGGGTAGGCTACTTGTCTAGCAGGTATGAGGCCCTGGGTTGAATTTTCCACTCTGTAACAAGTATTGTTAGTGTTCTGTGTTTGTGTTAATGACTTACTAGGTACTGGGGTTTAGCAATAGAGAACAGGGGTATGACACGGTGAAACCCCTCAAAATGAGCTCCACCCTTTTTGCAATAAACAGTTACACTAGTGTATACTGAGGGAGAGCATGTAATGCTATGTGAACACAAAGTGGACACCTACCTGAGTCTGGAGGGGCATGGGAGCTACCGAGATTAAAAAAACAAAAAACAAAAACAAAACACCTTAGCTGATTCCTAAAGCTGCAGTAGGTAGATGGACAAAGCAATATTAAGGAACAATTCCTTAAAGGGAAGAATAGCATTTATGTATGCATAGACTTGTGAGATATTCACTTGCAGCATATTTAGTCTAGTTAGAATTAACTGTTGAGAAGGGAGTGGTAAAAATGAGTTAATTTATGATGGATAAGAAAGATAGGGATTAACATTTGCAAACACATGTACCCACCCTTAATCAATCCCATCCCACTAACTTATGGAGGAAGAGTTGGGCAGAGGGAAAGACTTACCAGGCTTCCTCAATAGGGTATGTTGGTGAGTCCTGTTCACCAGCAGTATGCCTTTAAGAAAGCAGAATTCCGAAGAGCCTGCAGACCTGCCCCATAGGGACTAGAGATGAGATCCTAATCATAGCTAAAAGCCAACAAAGGAAACAAATTCCTTCTACCTGTTCTCCCAATTCCCCAAATATTCATGATCTTCTTGAACAAAAAAGATTTTTAAATTATTATTAATGTATTATAATTCTACACTGTTATATTTCTACACATGCACAATATATTTTAACAATTTCATCTTCTCATATTTTACTTTTCCTTCAAGGTATCTGTAACACATCCCCATCCCATCACTTAAATACAACATAGGAATATAGAACAGAGTCACAACACAAGCATCAGTTAGCCCACAACTGAGTTCCATTTATCCCCATCTCCCTAAGTCTAATGTCCAGAGCCCAAATGGATACATGAAACAGGCAAGCCCAGAATGAAGGCAGTTCCAGGCCTCTGTATGGCTCACTCTCCTCTCCACCAAAACAGTCTTCTCCTCCCCCAAACAGGCCTCCCGATCTCTGAGCCACCAAGGAACTTTCTTTGGGTGTGATTACAGGACTTTAAATGTTATGTAGCATAATGAAACATCCTGTGAAAGTTTGAAATATCTCCCTCATCATAATCAGCAATGGCAGCTCTTCCCCTCTTTACCACAAATGCTGGTGGTGTTGAAGCAAACTGCCATCTCAGACAACTCGATGGTGATGCTTCCCTGTGGGCCTTTTCCCAGAAGCAGAGGCCGAGAGGAAAAGCCCTACACGTTTACATGAAGATTTTTATAAAGATGGTTACCTACAAAGTTCTCCAGTCCAAGAATTAGAAGGTGGAAGGAGCATAGAAGCAGGCAGTCTGGATAGGAGACATTAATTTACAAGAGACAGGAGGGGAGGAAGAGGATACAAAAATCTTAAGCTACTAATACCACTCCAAATCTTCCAGAGCCTTAGAAGCTGAACACTAGCAAAAATCCACCTTTCCCAGGCTTTGGTGGGATACTTTATAAACTTCTATCAGCTTCCAGTGACTTGAAAAAGTCACAATAAAAATATCAAAATAGAACATCTCCAAAGGACCATCTTACCCAAGCAGTAAGGGCTCTAACTGGTGATCAAATTGTGCTGACCAATAGTAGTGGTCAGATTTGTTCTAGTGACTAAATTTGACTAGGTCAAATGGGTATCAGCACAGTTCTCATCAACTGAGTAGATTATAAATGGGGGAAGAGACTAAAGAAACAATACTTAGGGCAAGGGCTAGGACTTATAGATTTAAGATCACGTACATCTTTCACATTCTCCAATTACATGGGCAACCTGAGCTAGCTGTTCCTGTGTCATTATCTACATGTACAAGACTGAGCAATCATACCCTCAAACTCCTTATACTGAATATTCCCAGTTTCCTCAATCAGAAGGATGCTCATGGGAGCATACTGATAAGGGACACAGGAGGGTTGGGGGACATTCTTGTCCACCAGCTCATTGACAAGGTTTTGAATGATGGCATGATTGGGGGAATTGAGACCATGGTGTAGTACCCGAGGACAGGATCCCTTACAGTAGTTTGGGGTGTAGTGATGAGGAGCAATGATCCAATGATCCCAGCCCAGCTGCTGGAAGGTGACTTTAAAAGAATGAAGGGAACATTGATTATTTGCAGACTGATTATTTGCAGACCCATATTTTTTCTGGGAAGAGTCAGAAACCCTAGGCAGGATGCTGCCTGCTTGCCGGACCCTCCTTAAAAGAGAAGATCCCCCTTCTAATATTTCCTCTAGTCCACTGGGAAGTTTAGCCTTCTGGCCACTTTTATGAGTGTCATTAAAATAGAGTAGCACAAAGGCAGTGTCCAAAGGTGAAGTGCCATTCCATTGGATCCCAGGAACCATGCTACCTTTTTGCTGCCGACACATAAAGTGAAGTCTTAGGACCCTGTGACGCTTGTGATTCCAGAGTGTCTGCAGAATGTGTTGTGTGATGTCCATCTCTGTCCAGGCTTTAGACATCAGAGAAGGCTTTGAGGAATTTCTTCCTGAAGGAAAGTGGTTGGTTGGGCTTTGTGGGGCCCAGGGCTCCACATGGCAGGATAAATTAAAGTGAGCTAGGTGGAGTTGTTGATGATAAACCACAGTGGCTCTGACTAGTTGGTATACTTCCTGCTTTGGTCCGAGAGGAAAGTCCAGGGTTTGCATATGCCAGGAACCTGAACACATAAGACAGAACAGGGTCAGGGGATTAGTGTCTTGCCTGGATATTGAGCCTGAAAATCCTTTACAAAACTGTTCAAGAGAAACACAGCTGTAATCAGCCCTGAAATTAACTCAAGGTAATAATATCTATCATTTGTTGAACACTTATGAATGTATAAGATGCTTTATATTTATCAAACTCTTGAATCCTCAATGGTCTTATGAGATACTTATTATTCCCATTTTGCAGACAAGGAAATTGAGGCTCACAGAAGCTATGTCAAAGGACACACACCCAAGTGCTGGATGTATCTAGGTGGTGAGAGCACTTTTGCTTAGCATATGTAAGGCCCTGGGTTCAATCCCAGCACCACAGAAACCAAAACCATGAAGGACACATAGCCAGTATATGGTAAAGTTAAAAATGTGAACTCAAGCTGGTTGCCATTAAGAAAAGAAACTGTACCAGTGGCCAAGAAGTTGGTCAGGGGAGGGAGGAGGTAAGGGAAAAGGAAGTACTGTGAATGAAATTGATCAAATTATGTCATGTCCATGTAAAATGTGTCATGATGAATCTATTATGTATAACTATAGTGCACCAATACAAATTAAAACACTAAAGAAAGTAATTTTGTCTCACTTTTAGATCACTTTACAGTTCTAGACTCAGGGGAAAAACAAGCATAGAAGAGTCAATTATATTATTGACTACTAAAGGTGACTAAAAGACATGTTGAAACATACGTGGATTAAGGGTCCTTATTTCAGAGAGAACATGTGGTCTTTCGTTTCTTGGGATTGGCTCTGATTGCTAACCCACGGGGAGGTTGGGGAGGGGAACAATAGAAATCCATTGGATTCAACAAAGGGGAAGGAAGGGAGGGCAGGATAGGAAAGACAGTAGAAACTTGGCCCTAACTTTCCTAGCCTTGTATTTGTACACATGACCAGGAAACTCCACACAAGAGTGGGATCCTAAATAGAATAAGTTATACTTCATGTATGTATATTCTGCCAAAACATAGTCTACTGTCATGTGTAACTAAAGATAATAAAAAAGTTTAAAATATTTTAAAAGGAGTCTTTATTTCACATCACTATACAGATGCAGGTTTGGGGCAACAATTCAATATTGGGTGCTATTCTGTCATTGTTTTAAATCCAGGACCAAGGCACCATAGAATAATTGTATCACTAGTGGGGACAGGTATTGTTGCTGTTTCTGTCTTTCAACAACTTCAAGAATTGTTTCTTGGGCTGGGGCTGTAGCTCAATGGCAGAGTGTTTGCCTAGCACGTGAGAGGCACTGGGTTTGAACCTCAGCACCACATAAAAATAAATAAGATAAAGGCATTCTGTCCATTTACAACGACAAGTAGTTTTTTTTAAATTGCTTAAGTATCTTTTGGCCATTTCTCCTTTAACGCCCCATCTCTCCCTTTCCCATTCCTTTATAGAAATGGCTCTCCATTTTCCCCATTCTTTTTACCCTCACTTCTCTAAATACCATCTCAACAAGGCCTTGATCACCAATATTTTGTTTGCTGGCAAATCTATTAAAAACTACATGCCCCTTAGCAATTGAGAGATTTAATCCAAACTGTTGTGCTGACACCCAGTGGCCAAAGGGTAGGAAGGCTGGGCCTGCAGAGTTCCCAACTTGTGCTCCTCCCCCTCCTGGTAAAGGTCAAGAGCAAAGACTACAAAACCAGTCATCTCAGGAAAAGGTCTTCTCTCTCCTTACAAACATCTTAGTATTTCCACATTAATTTATATATTATTCATCTAACCTTGCTCCTCCACTGAATCCACAAGCCTGGGATTGTAACAGTGCTGGGGATTAAAGAGAACTCTTTAATATTTTGATGTTCCAGAATACTTCTAAAAGTTTGTATTCTAACTCATGCTTAACACACCCTCAGGATTGGGGCACTCACTAGCCATCATGCACACAGGCCCAAGCCAGGCCTGTGTTTGCTTTCTTATGTTATTCCACACTCCCATCTTACAATAATCTTTCCTAGAGGCCCACCCTGCCTGAAAAGGAACTCAACCCAAACCTCTAGCAGGCTGTCTAGTGAGGAACTGCCCTTTCCTTTCAGACCTTGACCTCACCCGTTTCCTGAAGCAGGGTGGGGTTACTGAGGATCAGAGCCAGGAAGGGTCTGCTCAGAACTTTTCAGGGAAAGGAAGGACTCATACAGCCCATGTGACTGAATCTGTCATCTGCTTCTGGATCCTTTCCAGAGTCTCTAAGATACCAGTATGCTTCATAGTCGGCTGGAATATATGCCTAATTGTAGGCATCCTCCTTTTCAGCCTCACAGCATTAGTACAAACTTGACTTGATCTGCTTTGTGCTGCAGTTAGGAAAGGAATTTGGGGCCCTCCTCAGGGCCACTGAGACCCCACCTCTCACCAGCCTCATATCCTGCCATTCTCTGCAGTGCTCTCTAGACTCTAGCCAGAACCTCCTAGAAATCAGGGAAGTAGTTATTTGCCCACATATACTCAACCCAGATATAGTGCCTAGTGCTCAATTAAATTCTTTTGGGAATTCTTCCCTCTAGGCCTTTGCACATGTTGTTCCTTAAACCTAAGTCAGGTGTCTCTCCACTCTTCTCATGTCTCTCTTCTTAACAGACCTCAGCTCAAACGTTACCTCTTCAAAGATACCTTCACATAACCCCACGGAAAGAGATGACTTCATTGCTTTTCTCAATCATAACTTACTTCATCATTTGATAGCATTTGCCAGCATTTGCCACAAATTGCAACTTAACTGTTTGCATGTTTATCTCCCCACCAGAACACGTGCTCCAAGCCAGTAGCTTTGCCTGTCTTAATCACATTTGCATGCTTAGCCCTCAGTAGGTGCTGAATACAATATTTGTTGAATGAATTTCCACCCACACAGAGTTATTTTCTCTTTCCTAAATCAGGATGAACTTCTCTGAAAATGTAATCTTCTCCTTACTCCTCCTTTCCTAAGTTCCAGCTTAAATATTACCTTCTCAATGAGGCCTTCCAACATTCTCTCTGCTTCCCTTTCTCTGCTCCAAATAGTGAGCCATTTTTTTTTTTGTGTGTGTGTGTGATGTTAGGGATTGAATCCAGAGCCTTGTGCATGTGAGGCAAGCACTCTACCAACTGTGCTATATCCCCAGGCCTGAAGCATTTCTTCTCTGGAGTCCTGGGATCCCAATTGCTCATCCTCTTCTAAGCACTTATAACATTATGTGATTATTTATCTACCCATTCTATTATTCCAGAACCTCCTAGAAATCAAGAAAGTAGTTATTTGCCTGCATATACTCAACCCAGATATAGTGCCTAGTGCTCAATTAAAATCTCTTGGGAATTCAGCATATCATGTTGATTAAAAGCACAGGCTCTGGGACCTGAGAGCCTAGATTTGACTCCTGACTAACAATTACTAGCTGCGTGACATTGGTGAAGTTACTGAGCCTCAGTTTCTTCATCTATAAAATATTATGTTTATTAACCAACCTCATCTGGTAATGGCAAGGATTAAGGGTGGTAGTTTTGTACAGTATCTTCTGCAATGCCCGACACACAAAAAGCCCATGGTAAGAGATAGCTAGGAGAATATTGGTTGTTTTACTTGGAAGATGAGTGTGAATTCTGTCCATTGTCATTGGAGACTAGTGAAAAAAAAAAAAACCCAGATTAATCTCATCAGGTTCTCAAGAGTTCCTTGAAGTTGATGGCTGCCTACATTCCCTGGAGAACCCTGCACACCTGCTGCTGTCCTGGAAGAGTGTCTAATGCAGATGTTCGAAGCAGAATTGAGCAAGATGGGGACAAAGAAAATCTGAAAGCATATTTGTTTCCAAAATCTCAAGGTTGCAGCATGGCCCAAATAGGAGAACTTCTTGGCCTGTTGGGATACTGCCCTTAAAGGTTTAAAAAGTTATAGACAGATTTTAGAATCAGACTTGAGCTCAAACTCCATCTCTGCCACCCATTGTTTGACATTTGCCAGTTGCTTTCTCTCTCCATGCCATAGTTTTCTTGTCTCTAAAGTTGTCAATTGCCCCACAACTACAAGTGGTACTGGCTTTTATTAATTAAATACTGTCACAGATGCTCGCATATCCTCAGGTGTTAGCTTTTCTCATCCTTTCTGAGGGCTTATAAGTCTCCCCAACACGGCATCCTGTACTACTTGCCTTCTAAGAGCAAACCACCACATAAACAGCCCTCCAAAAATGCAGCTCAATTACAGTTTTCACAGATAACAAGGTATAAGATTTTTATGAAAGAAAGTGGCTAACACATTACTCAGTCGTTGTGGGGAATGGAAAAGATTTTTCAGCAGGCCCCGAGCTAATCTGTTCTTAAGCTGGGTCCCTAAAGGAAAATAGGCTTGGAGCCAAGTTTCCTGAGCTTGCTGTCCTTTCAAAACCAGGGCATGATGGTACATATCTGTAATCCCAGTGACTCAAGAGGCACAGGCAGGAGAATCACAAGTTTGAGGCCAGCCCCAGCCATTTAGCAAGACCCTCAGCAAATTAGTAAAACCCTTTCTCAAAATTTAAAAATCAGCCAGGTGTGGTAGTGCATGTCTGTCATTGTACAGCTCCACAGCCTGGGGCTGGAGGACTGCAAGTTCAAAGCCAGCTTCAGCAACTTAGCAAGGCCCTAAGCAACTCAGCAAGACCCTGTCTCTAAATAAAGCATGAAAAAGGGCTGGGGATGTGGCTCAGTGGTTAAGCACCCCTGGGTTCAATCCTCAGTACTAATAAATAAACAAATTAATTAATTGAAAAGGACTGGGGCCGGGCATGGTGGTGCACACTTGTAAACCCAGCAGTTAGGGAAGCTGAGGCAGGAGGATTGCAAGTTCAATGCCAGCAATGGCAAGGTGCTGAGAAACTGTGAGACCTTGTCTCTGAATAAAATACAAAATAGGGCTGGGGATGTGGCTCAGTGGTTGAGTGCCCCCGAGTTCATTTCCTAGTACCACCCCCCCCCCCAAATGGCTGGAGACTGATTTGGTTGTAGAGCACCCTGGGTTCAATCTCTAGCACCAAAAAGAAAAAGAAATGAAGCCATGCCTACATGCACCAGGCAGTGAGGCCTGACAGTAAACCCACAGATTCCTTGTTCTTTACACTCTTCTGCCCTTCTCCCAACTCTAGGGTAGAATGGGGACACCAGAACTCACCTCTTTTAGGCCTTGCTACATGGGCCAAAGGCCTCACCAGTCTCACCATGGTGGCTCTGATGGTGCGATTCTTCCTAGGACGTCCGTCGGGATCAACTGAACGCTGGTACAACTCCAGCATGTACTGTAGAGGATATACTCCAAGCTGTGGCTCCCTCTTCTGATTTTGTGGTTCTTCTACCAGCTCGTGATACTGTGGCAAGGTAGGGAATTCCATGGGCAGGGGGATGATAGAGGGATGGTCTAGCTTTTCCATTTGGACCCCATGTTTCAGGGAGAGCACCAGTCCCCAAAGAAGTATTCTAAGAGTGTTGGGAAAGACCATCTTGACAGGCTTAGTGTTCAGACCAAGAGTTCCAGACCAAGCCCCAAAAGTGTCACTCTTATCCCTTTGTTTCACTCAAGTAACCACATCCAGTCTCTAGGACCAAGGATGGGACAAGGAATGAAAGAAAGGCAGGCCCTATATTGCTTCCCAAGACGACCTCCTAGGCCAAAGTAGGTCTCCTATAACTTGAGCTCTCAGCATCAAAGGATCAGAAAGAGGAGGTGAGTAAGGCAGAATGCCCTTCCCACTCTCTTTTTAAGAGGCTGAAGTCAACGAGCAGGACCGCCTCTCTCACCTCATCCAGAAGGAGAAAGAAAAGAGTAGGGACCTGCTCTGCCTCACAGCTGTTGTAAATGCCATCCCTCAATCAGACCTTAAAGGGCCAGAGTCCTCTTGCTTCCATCTCACTCCCATGCCTCTAAAGACAGCATTTCCCAAATGTGGCCTACTGCTGACTCAAAGTGAAAATATCTGAGATGACTGTTAAGAATGCAGACTCCCAGGTCCAGACTCAAATATGGACTCTCTAGGGGTAGTAGGTTGAGTGAGTTTTTCTGAGGATTTTCTATGGCTACTCAAATGTGCAAATCACTGTGAGCATGGCTGCTGGAGCTTAAAGAAGATGATTTCCCAGGGTTTCTCAATCCTGACTGTAAAATGGAATCACCAGGGGAGCTTTAACTATTCTGGGTGTTTGGTATCATCCCCAGCCATCCTGACATAATGGGTCCAAGGTGTTACCAGTGATTTTGGATTGTTTTCTAAATTTGCAGGTGATTTGAGAACTCCAACTTTGAATTTTCTGGTTACCATGAGAAGTGTTGAATGGACTTCATCAGAGAAACCTGAGGGAGTGGATGATGAATCTGTGGGAGTTCTTCTACTCTAACCAATTTAATAGGATCCTCCAGGGCTGGGACTGTGGTTAAGGCTGCCCCAGGCCAAGATTCTGCAGATAGATGGTAGGAGTAGACTTGACATTGCCCAAGTTTGTTGGTGCTCTGGAGAAATGGTAGAATGGGAGGTCAAGACTGGGCATTAAGAGTTGATCAGTCTGGCCTGGATTTTGGGAGGCCTTTACCTCCAAACAAGAATATCTATGGACAGGCAACATGATTATAGAACAGCATAGACTTTGGTTTGGAGATTTTAAAATATTTTTTGATGGTGGAGGCTGGGTGGTCATTTGTTGTTGTTGTTTTGATACTGGGGATGAACCTGGGCCGCTTAACCACTGAGCCACATCCCCAGTCCTTTTTGACATTTTATTTTGAGACAGGGCCTCACTAGTTACTGAGGCTGGATCTAAACTTGAGATCCTCCTGCCTCAGCCTACTGAGCCACTGGAATTACAGGCATGTGCCACCAGGCATGGAGGTTTTGTTTTCTTTTTAAAGACCAGAGGTCTTATTTTTTTAAAACCTATTATGCCATGCTTCATAGGGATTAGGTTCCAGAAGTTCAGCCTCTTCCCATTATTTCTCCCAAAGTGTGCTACTGTGGGTGGAGCATGCTGGCATTTCAGTTAAACTCGGGTACTCTTTGGCTTCCTTCTTTTCCTCCTCATTTTCTTTGATGCCTTTCAGGAAGGTATCTCGGCTTTTAGGCGTGCTCAATACACACATTAATTCTCTGGCAAAAATCTTGCCCTTGTTTGTTTGTAACAATGCTAACAGCATTCTGGGTAACATTATAGACTTCCAGTTCTGCCTTGGTAACATTTGTGGGGCATCCCTTTTCAAATAGCACCAAATCTATTGATGTTTCCATATCACCTTTATTTTAAAGTCACATAAAGTATGTCGCTAAAGGAACAAGACTGTATTGGTTGGGGGTTGGTACCAGGGATTGAACTCAGGGGCACTCGACCACTGAGCCACATCGCCAGCCCTATTTTGTATTTTATTTAGAGACATGGTCTCACTGAGTTGCTTAGGGCCTGGCTGTTGCTGAGGCTGGCTTTGAACTCAGGATCCTCCTGCCTCAGCCTCCTGAGCAGCTGGCATTACAGGCATGTGCCACTGCACCTGGCAAGTCTGCATTTTCTAAAAGGTCTAGAGAACACCATCCCTTAGGTGCCTCTCCTCTTCCTCTTTGCATTTGTCATTTTGGCATATTATTGCAAGATGGCAGTTCTGGCATCTTTGACTTGTTCCAGTTTTTAGAGGGAATGCTTTCAATCATTCTCCCTTTAGAATGATGTTGGCCTGGGGCTTAGGATAGATAGCTTTTACAATGTTGAGATATTTTCCTGTTATCTCTAGTTTTTCTAGTGTTTTGAACATGAAGGGCTGCTGTATTTTGTCAAATGCTTTTTCTGCATCTATTGAGATGATCATATGGTTCTTATCTTTAAGTCTATTGATGTGATGAATTACATCTATTGACTTCCATATGTGGAACCAACCTTGCATCCCTGGGATGAACCCCACTTCAATTGTGGTGCATTATCTTTTTGATACATTTTTGTATTCGATTTGCCAGAATTTTATTGAGAACTTTTGCACCTATGTTCATCTGAAATTTTCTCTCTTTGATGTATCTTTGCCTGGTTTTGGAATCAGGCTGATATTGGCCTCAGAGAATGAATTTGAAAGTGCTCCCTCTTTTTCTATTCCCTGAAATAAATTGAAGAGTACTGGTATTAGTTCTTCTTTAAAGGTCTTGGAGAACTCATCTGTGTATCCATCCCATCCTGGGCTTTTCTTGGTAGGATCAGATGGCGTCTCCTATTTCATTTCTTGAAATAGATTTGTTTAAATTGTGTATATCATGATGTTTCAATTTGGGCAAATCATATAACTCTAGAAATTTGTCAATGCCTTTGATATTTTCTATTTTATTGGAGTACAAGTTTTCAAATTAATTGCTAATTATCTCCTGTATTTTTGTAGTGTCCATTGTGATATTTCCTTTTTCATCACGTATGTTAGTAATTTGAGATTTCTCTCTCCTTTTCTTCATTAGCGTGGCTAAAGGTTTGTCAATTTTATTTACTTTTTCCACTGCCTTCATAGTGTCCCAAAGACTTCAACACGTTGTATCTGTGTTCTCATTCACCTCTAATAATTTTTTGATCACCTTCTTGATGTCTTTTGCAACCCATTGTTCATTAAGTAGCATATTATTTAGTCTCCAGGTGTTGGAATAGGTTTTATTTTAATTTTATCATTGATTTCTAACTTCATTCCATATCATCTAATAGAATGCAGGGTAGTATCTGTACTCTTTTATATTTGCTAAGAGTTGCTTTGTGGCATATTATATGATATATTTTAGAGAAGGATTCATGTGGTGCTAAGAAGAAATTGTATTTGCTCATTGAAGAAAGAAATATTTTTATATATGTCAGTTAAGTCTAAGTTATTGATTGAACTATTGAGCTCTATAGTTTCTTTTTTTAGATTTTGTTTGGAAGACCTATCCAGTGGTGAAAGAAGTGTGTTAAAGTCACCCAGAATTATTGTGTGGTCATCTATTTGACTCTTTTTTTTCCTTGTTTCAGAAAGAGACCATCTAGATCTCATCTGTTTTTTTTTAATTTTTTATTGTTGGTTGTTCAAAACATTACATAGTTCTTGATATATCATATTTCACACTTTGATTCAAGTGGGTTATGAGCTCCCATTTTTACCCCATATACAGATTGCAGCATCACATCAGTTACACATCCATTGATTTACATATTGCCATACTAGTGTCTGTTGTGTTCTGCTGCCTTTCCTATCCTCTACTATCCCCCCTCCCCTCCCCTCACCTCCCCTCTTCTCTCTCTGCCCCCTCTACTGACATTCATTTGTCCCCCTTGTATTATTTTTCCCTTTCCCCTCACTTCCTCTTGTATGTACTTTTGTATAACTCTGAGGGTCTCCTTCCATTTCCATGCAATTTCCCTTCTCTCTCCCTTTCCCACCCACCTCTCATCCCTGTTTAATGTTAATCTTCTTCTCATGCTCTTCGACCCTACTCTGTTCTTAGTTACTCTCCTTATATCAAAGAAGACATTTGGCATTTGTTTTTTAGGGATTGGCTAGCTTCACTTAGCATAATCTGCTCTAATGCCATCCATTTCCCTGTAAATTCTATGATTTTGTCATTTTTTAATGCAGAATAGTACTCCATTGTGTATAAATGCCACATTTTTTTTTATCCATTCATCTATTGAAGGGCATCTAGGTTGGTTCCACAGTCTTGCTATTGTGAATTGTGCTACTATGAACATCGATGTAGCAGTGTCCCTGTAGCATGCTCTTTTTAGGTCTTTAGGGAATAGACCGAGAAGGGGAATAGCTGGGTCAAATGGTGGCTCCATTCCCAGCTTTCCAAGAAATCTCCATGCTGCTTTCCAAATTGGCTGCACCAATTTGCAGTCCCACCAGCAATGTACAAGTGTACCCTTTTCCCCACATCCTCGCCAGCACTTATTGTTGTTTGACTTCCTAATGGCTGCCAATCTTACTGGAGTGAGATGGTATCTTAGGGTGGTTTTGATTTGCATTTCTCTGACTGCTAGAGATGGTGAGCATTTTTTCATGTACTTGTTGATTGGTTGTATGTCCTCCTCTGAGAAGTGTCTGTTCAGGTCCTTGGCCCATTTGTTGATCGGGTTGTTTGTTCTCTTATTGTCTAATTTTTTGAGTTCTTTGTATACTCTGGATATTAGGGCTCTATCTGAAGTGTGAGGAGTAAAGATTTGTTCCCAGGATGTAAGCTCTCTATTTACCTCTCTTATTGTTTCTTTTGCTGAGAAAAAACTTTTTAGTTTCAGTAAGTCCCATTTGTTGATTCTAGTTATTAACTTTTGTGCTATGGGTGTCCTATTGAGGAATTTGGAGCCCGACCCCACCGACTGTAGATCGTAGCCAACTTTTTCTTCTATCAGACGGCGTGTCTCTGATTTGATATCAAGCTCCTTGATCCATTTTGAATTAACTTTTGTGCATGGCGAGAGAAAGGGATTCAGTTTCATTTTGTTGCATATGGATTTCCAGTTTTCC